CTATTCATCTATTCATTCATTCATTCGTTCGTTCTACTCGACTTATTCCTCCCCGATACGATCCTGTCTTATAGTTCAAACAAAGCACAATCAATAGATCAATAAATCATTCTTTTGCTCAATATTAACACATCAATAAATCAATAAATTATTATTATACCATTGTTTCAATATCGATATCAGCTCCGATCTTGATTGGTGGACTAGACTTCAAGTGAGTAGTTGGTGATTCCAGAATCTCATGGTTGATGGGAGATTTGCTCACTATCCGCAGCAACACAGCCTTTCCGTAGTCGTCACCTGATAATTGTCAAATCAATTGCCATCACAATGATGACCACGAAAAAGGCTCCTGGAGGCATCCGTCATGATGAGATCAGGGAAACGGATTCACATTCACATTCACATTCGCATATACATTTACCTCTTAGACGTTCTGTACCTTCATCACGTTCCTCTTCCTTTTCTGAATCATCTAATAGTGGCATGATACAAACCCCAATTACTGTGATTCACGAGAATGCTTCCAGTCTATTTGAACATCGAGGTCAGATGGGATATCTAAAAACTTACGAGGAAGATATTCTCAGATTGGCCTTATCATCGATATCATTAACCCCTTCAGATCCACCAGTACTTTCTGCCTCCATCAAAGAATCAACAGATAATATGGACAAACTCGAGATCGTCGACAAGAAGCACAAACCATTCGTTACTACAATTCCTGAAATCATGCTTGGAATCTTCAAATATCTTAATCCTATTGATGCAGTCTGCTTCAGTCTCATAAAGTTTGTAACCTCTCAAAAATCCGTCGTGTGATGACATTCATTAACTCTTTATCAGTAAGTACAGTCGCAACATATATACTTCTCATGGCGCTCATCAACTTCTTGACTTTCAACCCCCTCTTCAAATTGGTCGACCTGAAAGCAGATTTTCCAGTCATCCCTGGACCAGAGCATTCATGTCATCATTGTTGCCCTGTGGCATTCTTTCCAGCACATTGCGAATTGCATTTTCATCTAAGGAGTTTCATTCCCTCAGATCTTACCTTTTGTGCTGGGCAATGTCAAATGGTTAACGCAATGGTGAATCATTTGACTCGGAATCATGTGGAGCTTGTGGAAGAAGTTATAAGAAACAGTTTGAGAGAGGAAGAAGAATGATTGATGTCATGAGACCAGAAGGACGCGTAAACAAATGGTTTGAACAGCCAAGACTTGATAGAGAAAATCGCCAACGAGAGAATCGTCGACGATTACGAAGACTATTGCAGCAGGCAACATCTAGTTCCAACTCGGCGTCAAATCAAACAGACAATCCGCAATTATGATGTTTTTACGAACCAAAGTAAGCTAAATGCAACATTTCACACCTTTTGATCACAATAATCACGACCCCGATACTCTCCATGTTCGTTCGAAGGCGACTTACTCTTAAAGGTCGTCAGTGTGCGAAATTTGAAAGGCATCTATGATTGGTTCGGGAGTTTTGTTTGGGAACGAATAGAATGTTTGACCATGGACGGATTTCTTTGGTGCTATTCAGGTTCACGATACCTGCATGCGTTTTCACTGGATAGAGTTTCGAGACTGCAAATAGGTTACGATAGAGTTCAGTTTGTTTTATGCAATGCATTGGGGGTGTCATGGGTTGGAGTTCTCACAGGCAAATGAGTTACGATACAATTCAGAATAGCGATAGTCGGATACATTTTTGGCAAGCGGAGTTTTTTTTTATTTTTAAAAAAAAGAAAAATGATAATAATAATTGGGCTATCGTACAGTTCATTCCTGACATACACACTTGGATATTACAAAACACAGTTCGGAAAGGCGGAATGATGGTCAGTGGTACATTCAATATGTTTGCGATCTTTCATTTGTGAATGAGTAGTACGGATGGATCATGGGTTTTCTCATGGATGGATGAACGGATAGGTGCACCAATAGCATTAAACGAAATTTTCGAAAAGGTGTTAATATGTGAATGATACGATCCGGTGAGTGAAGCGTTTACATACGGCCTATTCCTATTATATGAATGGAAATTTATAAATAAAAGAAAGGGCTTCAGTATTAAAAATAAATAAATATTAACATTAATATTTTTTTAAATATAAAAATTAAAGTATAATATTTTAATCTCTTAATTAAAAGATTTTATCTTATTTTAATATTTGTTAAAGTGAATGGTTCCTGCGTAGCATGTGCACAGGGCACTAGTCCTATTAGGACTAGATTGAGAAGCTCTCTGTAGGAGAGCTTCTGTCACGATTCACCATTAGGATTGATGGTGTTACGATGGTAGCAAACTGATTAATTAGGAGAGCTTAGGCCTTGTGCAAACACGATCAGATTTCATCGAATTAGCATGTGATCTTGGTCACCTTAAGATCGTATGCGCACGCACCATCAGAAATCACGTGATAAGGAGCCCTGAGGAGCCAGAAAGCTCCTGGGGGCTCCCTTTATCGATCATTATATAGTCGGAGTAGTTTCATAGTTTAGGAGCTTCGTGCTCAACTTAGTTATCAATTAGTTTACCTACATTCTACTTGATCTAGTAACGAATTCACTTTCAAGTGAATACCAATGATAAAGCCTTAACCCATAACTACCAACCGATGAACCTTAAACAGCCGCTGCCTCCAGTATAGTATCGTTACACCTCAGTTCTGCCCTATCAGCTTCCCACTATTCCCTGTGTAAGGTCATTTCTTTTAACAATATTTACTATAATTATATAAAAAAATAAAAATAAAAAGTTGTTTTTGTTAAAAGGAATGACCTTACACAGGGAATAGTGGGAAGCTGATAGGGCAGAACTGAGGTAATATTGGTCTAGAATGTTAATCACTCTTTTAAGTTCTACGGAAGTGCGAAGCTCTCCTACAGAGAGCTTCTCAATCTAGTCCTAATAGGACTAATGCCCTGTGCACGTGCTACGCAGGAACCATTCACTTTAACAGTTTTTAATTTTAAAAATTAGGATATTAAAACTTAAAATCAAAGACTTTAAAACTATTAAAGATATCAATATATTAAAATCTTATATAAAATTAATATTAAAAAAAGAAAAAAAAGACATCAAAAAATTCTAAATAAGATCATTAATCAAAAGTGAATAAATATATAGATAGACTTATACAACTAACGGATTCCTCCTCGTGAGTCATTTCTTGCTTGAATCTGGTTCGATTTGGTTCTAAAGCTAATTATAAGATCTGACCTTGATGTTTTGTATCAGGAACTACACAAGTGAGTGAGTGAGTGAGTGAAAGTCTCATGACACCACGACAATTACTATTGCTATTATCCGAATCATTAAGTATCACAGCAATTTCAATCACGAAAATAAGTAAGGAGTCCAAACCAAAAGCCAACGTTTGTGTTCTGATATCTTAACAATGCAATAAAAAATGCTAGTGTATTATTTCTGGTAAAGAATCCCAAATCCAAAAATTCCCCATGAAACGATGCATCACCAAGTTCTCACAGCCTCAACTACGGTAAAGCCATCATACTAAATACTTATAAAGAAACTCTTCTCACCCTCCTTCGGCTTTACTTCCGCTCTCTTCAAAATTGGATCCGCACAACTAATCCTAATTCTCTCCGGCGTCGCTGGACTTTCCAATCTCAACAATCCTCCATCCTTAATATCTTGACCTATTTCTGCTGTCACACCATACTCCTTCCTAGCAGCCTTCAACGCATCTCTAATAGCGAAGAACACAGCACTACCCATAAATAACGGCGGTTCACCTACTCCTCTACTTCTCTGAATAGTCTTCAGCTCCTCCCATTCCACACCCTTGAGTAGAGAAACATTAAACTCTTGAGGAATATCTCTAAATCCCGGAATTTTATATGCACCAGGTCCTCGAGTTGCTAACTGTCCTGCCATTGGTCCAGCGCGGAAACCAAAGTGATTCTTCAGTGGTAAATAATCTCATACCTTGCACCAAAAGCACCTTCAATTTGTCCATAATCAATAGGAAGGATTGATGGACCGACCAACATCCATTTT